TGCTGTCTAAAGGCAGGAGTGTGGAGGCCCTTCTCTGTCCTCCACTGCCACCTCCCTGTGGCTTCATCCTCAGGGAGGCCTGTGCCTGGGGCCTTACACCAGGCCCCAGGCTGCAACCTAGGGTCATGGGGCCTCTTCATGTGGCTTGACTTGAGCAGAGGTCCTGGGGCTGATGATGCCAGTGCTGGCTGGCAGCCTTGGTACCAGGAGCACCCTGCACCCTGGCTGGAGAGGCTGGTTGAGGGGCTGGTGGTGGGTGCTGCACAGGGTGATGTCTAGTGGCATGTTCCGCCTCTCTGGCACCAGTGGCTTGAATGATGGGGTGTGTGGGGCTGGGAGAGACTCCCTGCAGCCAAGGGAGCTTATGGCCAGTCCCCGGATCCACAGGTGGAGGGTGCCAGAGGTTTCTTCTGTCCAGTGGGCAAAGGAGTGTGGCCAGAGCTTCAGGCAGGCCTGGGAAAGGGACGCTGTGTGGAGGGAATCCGACCCAGACACGCTGACATGCAGCTGTGACTGCAGCTCTGTGCCCTGGGCTCTGGTCCCTCCACGTCACTGTTAGCAAGGGTCACTGTGGCCAAGGGGAGCCTCAAGACCCTCTCTCTGCCATGTGACCAGAGCACGTTCATGGTGAGGATACCCCCCGGATGTGGACACGTCCCTTTCTGATTGCGAGTGGCCACCGCAGCGGCCTCAGGGCAGCAGGAGCTGCCTCCTTGGGAGGAGCTTCTGACCGTGCCTCTGGTTGCTGCCTGTGCCCCAGCGGAGCAGCCTGTGGCTCCCAGGAAGAGGAGCCGGTGTGGCGGCCTCCGGCAGGGGCCCAGGAGGCAGAGGGGCTGTGGGTCGCGCCCCTCACTCTTCCCGCTGTGGGCTCTGGCCCGCGGCTCTCCGTGTCCTCCAGGTTCTTGCTGGTCTTCTCCTGCCTGGTGCTGTCCGTCTTCTCCACCATCAAGGAGTACGAGAAGAGCTCCGAGGGCGCCCTCTACATCCTGGTGAGCCTGGGCCCGGGGACAGGGTGGCTGAGCCCAGAAGACAGGCCCCCGGCTGGAGAACCTGCGGGTTCTCTGGCCTCAGCCCTGCTGCCCGTGTGTGCCTGGCCTCCCTGGCCCAGGGGCACCCAAATATGTGGCCTTGCTCCTTCTAGGTGGGTTCTATGAGGCGGCCCCCGAGGCCCTTCCCAGGCTCTCAGTCCCCAGCACTGGTGACGCCACCTTGGATGACAGCGCCCCCTCCACCACCCACCTCTCCTCTCTACCCTCTTGGCTGGGCTGGAGGTGTGGGGTGCTCCACTGGAGGTGTGGGGTGCTCCCCAGCAGATGTGGCACCTGGGTGGGGCGTGATGCTCACAGCAGCCCTGTGCCGGGGCAGGGTGGGCACCAAGGCAACGGGAGTGTGATTCCTGTTGCCGTTGGTAACGGGGGTGGCTCTCAAGGAAAGTGGGCCCACCAGGAGGCCCCCTCCCACACCCAACCTCTGTCCCAGGGCTGCCTGAGTTTCACGGAAGCTGTTTCCTCACTGTCACCTGGGACTCTCCCTCAGCCCTGCCACCACCCCACATTGTCACCAGCTTTGGCCAGGCAGAGCCTAGTCCAGCCCAGACAGGGAGGACCCCCTAGCCTAGACAGGGAGGACCCCCCCATCCCAGACAGGGAGGAGGCTCCAGCCCA